GGGAGGGGATCCCTGGGGGGATTTGGGGGTCCCGGGTGGATTTTGGGGGTCCTGAACACATGGGACCCCTCCCAGGATGGATTTTGGGGATCCAGGTTGGATTTTGGGGGGTCTTGAACATTCGGGACCCCACCTAGGATGGATTTTGGGGGGGTCCCGAGTGGATTTTGGGCACCCCAGAGGGATTTTGGGGTGTCCTAGGGGGATTTTGGGGTGAATTTTCAGGGGTCCCGGGTACCCAAACCCCCCCTTTGTGGGGTCACAAAGCAGAGATGGATTTTGGGGTGAACCGAAGGGGTTTTGGGGTGTCCCCAGGGGGGTTTTGGGGCGACTTTTGGGATGTTCCAAGTGGGATTTTTGGGGTGTGCCCGGGGGTTTCTGGGGCGCCCCGTGGGGGGGTTTTGGGGGGGTCCCCAAGGGAATTTTTGGGATGTCCCCAGGGGGTTTTGGGGGCACCCCCGAGAGGAATTTTGGGGTGCCCCGGCTGGATTTTGGGGTTCCCCAGGGGAGTTTTTGGGGCGCCCCAGGGGAGATTTTGGGGTGCCCCCAGTGGGATTCTTGGGATATCCCAGGGGGGTTTTGGGTGTCCCCGGGTGGGTTTTTGGGGTATCCCTGGGAGAGATTTTTGGGATATCCCCAGGTGGATTTCGGGTATTCCAGGTGCATTTTGGGGTTTCCCGGGTGCTTTTGGGGTGTCCCAGCTGGATTTCGGGGTGTCCCTGGTGTGTTTTGGGGTTCCCCAGGTGCATTTTGGGTTCCCCAGGTGCATTTGGGGTGTCCCAGGAGTATTTTGGGGTTCCCTGGGTACATTTTCTGTTTCCCCAGGTGCCTTTTGGGGTGTCCCAGGTGCATTTTGGGGCTCCCCGGGTGTATTCGGGGCTCCCCAGTTGTATTTGGGGCTCCCTGGGTGTTTCTGGGGCTCCCCGGGTGTATTTCGGTGTTCCCCGGGTGCATTTTGGGTTTCTCCAGGTGTATTTGTGGTTCCCCACGTGCACTTCGGGGTTCCCCGGCTGTTTTTGGGGTGTCCCGGGTGTATTTCAGGGTTCCCCGGGTGGTTTTGGGGCTCTCCGGGTGTTTTTGGGGTTTCCCAGGTGCATTTCGGGGCTCCCCGGGTGTTTTTGGGGCTCCCTGCGTGGATTCTGGGGCTCCCCAGGTGCATTTCGGGGTTCCCCAGGTGTATTTTGGGTTCCCCAGGTGTATTTGGGTTGTCCCAGGTGCATTTTGGGGTTCCCCGGGTGTATTCGGGGCTCCCCAGTTGTATTTGGGGCTCCCTGGGTGTTTCTGGGGCTCCCCGGGTGTATTTCAGGGTTCCCCGGGTGGTTTTGGGGCTCTCCGGGTGTTTTTGGGGTTTCCCAGGTGCATTTCGGGGCTCCCCGGGTGTTTTTGGGGCTCCCTGCGTGGATTCTGGGGCTCCCCAGGTGCATTTCGGGATTCCCCAGGTGCATTTCGGGGTTCCCCAGGTGCATTTCGGGATTCCCCAGGTGCATTTCGGGGTTCCCCAGGTGCATTTCGGGGTTCCCCGGGTGCATTTCGGGGTTCCCCCGCTGTTTTCGGGGCTCCCCGGCCGTTTTGGGGCTCACTCGAAGAGGCTGGCGAAGCTCTGCCGCAGCGCCCGCAGGCTCTCGGGGGGGCCCTGCTCGGGGGCGGGGCTGCGGAATTTGGGGGTTCAGGGGGGCCCGAGGGGGCGGGGTCTCAGGTGTGTGGGGGGAGGTGCAGGTGCTCAGGAGAGCAGCAAGGGTGGGAGCGAGCAGGTGTTGGAGGGGGACTCGGGTGTGCCCCAGGTGTGCTCTAGGTGTGCCCCAGGTATCTCAGGTGTGCCCCAGATGTGGCCAGGTGTGCCCCCCTCTGCCCCAGGTGTCTGGGGCGAGGCTCCCCCAGGTGTGTGGGAGGGCACCAAGTGTCCCAGCTGTGCCCCAGCTGTTCCCCATGTGTGCCCCAGATGTGCCCAGGTGTGCCCCAGCTGTCCCCAGCTATCTCCAGCAGTGCCCAGGTGTGTGTCCAGGTGTGCCCCAGTTGTACACCAGCTGTGCCCAGCTGTGCCCAGGTGTCTCAGGTGCTCCTCACGTGCCCAAGCTGAAGCCCAGGTGTGCCCCAGGTGTGTGTCCAGCTGCGCCCATGTGTCCCCCCGGTATTCCCCAGCTGTACCCAGGTGTGCCAGGTGTGACCGTGTGTGACCAGCTGTGCCCCAGCTGTACCCAGGTGTGCCAGGTGCGTCCAGGTGTGCCAGGTGTGTACCCAGGTGTGCCTAGCTGTGCCCAGGTGTGCCCCAGGTATGCTCAGCTCTCCCCCAGGTGTACCCAGCTGTGCCCAGGTGTACCCAGGTGTGACCCAGCTGTGCCCCAGCTGTGCCCAGGTGTACGCAGGTGTGACCCAGGTGTGCCCCAGCTGTGCCCAAATGTGCCCCAGGTGTACCCAGCTGTGCCCAGCTGTACCAGGTGTGCCCCAGGTGTGCCCGGCTGTGCCCCAGCTGTGCCCAGCTGTGCCCCACTGTGCCCCAGGTGTACCCAGCTGTGCCAGGTGTGCCCGTACCTGCACGATGTGCTCCTGCCCGTCGGGGCCCCGCAGCGCCTCCACCCCGCAGATGTCGACGCCCCCGAAGAGGCCGGCGCAGGCGTCCACCCACGCCCGGTGCCTGCGGGAGGGGCGGGGCTCAGCGGCCACGCCCACCGCCCTGGCCACACCCCTTCACCCTGGCCACGCCCCCTCGCGCTGGGCAAAGCACCCTGTCCAAAGCCCCGCCCCCTTCCCAGCCCCTTCCTGTGATAAAGCCGCGCCCCTTTCTAAACGGCCACGCCCACTAAAGCCCCGCCCCAACCACAAGCGGCTCTCATGGCCACACCCCTTTTGATGACCACGCCCATCCGCACAGCCACGCCCCTTCCCGCATAGCCCCGCCCCTCCTCACTTAGCCCCACTCCTCCAGTGTTACTCTCCACCGTAGCCCCGCCCCCACCATAGCCACGCCCCCTTCTCTCCTGACCCTCCCCCACCCCACAGCCCCAGCCTTGCCCCTCCCAAAGCCACGCCCCTCTTAGCCCCGCCCCCTCACGCTCACCTGGGGCTGAGGGCGACCGGCTCCACCTGCGGCCCCTCCCCCGCCGTGTCCCCGCCCCCCAGGGACCACCTGGGGGGACACCGGGCTCAGCACCCTTCCCAGTCCCCCCAGCCCCCCCAGTCCCCTTCCCAGTGCTCCCAGTCCCCCCAGTCTCACCGCAGGGCCCGGTACTGGTCCCCGATCCTCTGCACCCGCAGCCGCTCGGTGCCCGCGGGGTCCCCCCGCAGCAGCGCCCCCGCCCGGGCCCCGCCCATGGCAGCGGCCACCGCCCCCAGCACCTGCCGGGAGCCCACGCGCACCTGGGCCGGGACAGGTGAGACAGGAGAGAGGTGAGACGGGTGGGATTGATGGGACAGGTGAGACAGGTGAGACAGGTGAGGGACACGTGAGACGGGTGAGGGACACGTGAGACAGGTGAGATGGGGACAGGTG